AAAATCGTGAAAATATCGGTGTGCAATTGATTTTCGTGCATCAGGTGGGGGCGTGCATCAGGTGATCAACTACGGTAGGCCTGCTTCTGGTTGCTTAATTATCCGTTCAACTAGCGCCAGTATCTGAGGTATCATGCAAAATGTTGCGACGCAATCGCACCCTTACTGGGTGTGGAACCTGTCGCAGGCGCCATGTGAAATGCGACGAAACTCGCCCGATCTGCCAAAAATGCCAGCAACAAGATCTTGAGTGTCTTGGATACGAGCGCCAATTGTGCTGGGTCGACGATGATGCCAATAACGACACGGTCCGGATCTATCGCCGCCCATTGTTCTCCGGTAACCTACCTACATCGAATTCGGTATGACTGCGATTGCTAACTCGTGTACCAGTGGCGGACCAGCGGAGAATGACACAAATGACGATAGATAGTCTTGGCCAACAGTCCGCCAGTACTGCGTTGACAATACTGGAGAGCGGAAACGAGGGTTCGCTTCAAGGTCCATTCGGTGTATTGGACATGGCGCTGCGCGAGGCGTCTCTTGACACTGCAATTACTTCACAATCAGATTTTCCGCCCCACGAGTTCGAGATGGATGCGATCTGGCAATCATTGGATACGGAATCCGCTACCCCCGGGGATACTCACTTTTTGGCTGGGTTGTATGATCTGGTCGAGGAGTCTCAGAACACAAATGCCGTAAACACACTGATGCAGCTCGAACATTTACCTCATGACCTTCGCATACCTCTTGCAGAAGGCCTGGGAGGAAGCCCCGACGAAATCGTTTTTCAGCAATCTTTAACGACTCTGAGCCCTAGCCCTTCACCCGGACTTCAAGAAATCAAGCGTATGCCTCCACTAGCGCCTGATCTGCTCCGCTATTTCAAGGAGAACGTCCAATCTCTATCTTTCCCTTTGAGGAATTCCATGAAGTGCCCCTGGCAGGGAATCTATCTGCCTAGTGCAATGAGCACATTTGCGGAGCTCAGCATTAACCACACTGCTAGCCATACTAGGCTATCTTTATTCTATTCCCTTCTCGCTGCGAGCTGCCTCCACATGTATGCACGAAACGAATCTGCCGAGGACTTGAATGTATCGGGGAAGAGATTCAAAGATATAGCCGCCCAGCATTTAGGATTGGCTATGAATAAGGAGGTTTTGGGACCAGGAAGGGCCAAATATAAGGAAATACTAGTTGCCACTTTGTCAATGGTTATGCTCTCGGTATGTTTCACCCATCGCTTGGTGATCTGTTCAAGGCACTAATGCGACAGCACAGATCTTTCACGGAGAGAATTCAAATGCACAGGCTTTCCTCGTTGACGCAGAATATCTAATTCGCATACGTGGTCTCCCAAAATCACACCAGTCGGTTAAGGTCCGATCTTTGCATCACGTATACACCTATATACGGATTATGGCCGAAAGTACATGCGGATGTGCTCTTCTCAACATCTGTCCAGACCGGCCCAGCTCCAGCTTACTCTCGATTGAGTCTTCCCCAATCTCCCTAAGAAGCTTCCGTATGGTACACAACGGCCTGGATGGGGAGATTGACATCGCGTTGGAGAAAAGCAAGAAGATCGGCCAGAATGATATCCACCTGGAAATAATGGGCCAGTGGAACGAGACGCTGTTCGAAGATATTTATGGAATCCCGGAATCTTTATTGGCTCTCCTATCGCAGGTAATTCGTCTGGCTAACGAACAAGAACTACTCCACAGAGGTCCAACTGTGGATGTACGCGTTACGGAAGAATTAAAGCGGCGAGCGAGCGCTCTTGAACAGTACATCCTGTCATGGGAACCGCCATTTACCCCTCTCTCGGCGAGAGACGACGAGGGCAGCGAGAACCAGGCGACCTACTTCAAAGCCCAAGCGATGCACCAGGCTTTGATCTTGTTTTACTATCGTCGCATTCCCAATATCAGCGCATGGATCCTTCAAGATACTGTCCGAAAGTGTTTGGACTTCTTGGCGCGCAGCGATAACGCCCATTTGGGAAGCGCAACCAGTGATAAAACGATAATCTGGCCTGGGTTTGTGGCGGCCTGTGAAGCACTGGAACCTGACCTGCAGTACAAATCACTGGACTGGTTAATTACTGCCGGGAATCGGACGTCTCTGGGGCCCTTCTCTGCGGCCGCCGGAACTGCACAATGTGTCTGGAAGGCGCGAGCAGAGGCGAAGGATTATACACTGAGCTGGTTTGATGTTATGAAACATGAGAGATGCCCTATCATTGCGACATGATATTACGTTGGCTACAGAATGAACTGGGAAAACATTTAATATGACATCTTCTAAGAAGCGGATTGAGGATTAGATCTTCGACTCAGGGCGCGAAGCCTCTTCCAAAACCGCTCTAGGAATCTCTTCCTCCAAAGTAGGGCCCAGCGGCTTCCAACCTAGCTGCTCTCGTGCCCGGAAGGCCTGATAATCAGCGTTAGTTCCCCACAACACAGCGCCATGAGCAGTCAATTTGTCTGCAGCTTCCGCGTCGATCTCCTTGACCTCAGGACTCTTGATCAAGCCTTTCTCGGCAGCAAACGAAGACACTCGTTTGGAGATCTCTCCAAAAGGCTAATTATTAGACATCAGAAAATCACACATCAAGGAGTTAAAGGCAGAATATGGAAATGTAACGAACCATCTTTCCGTTCTCCGCAAAATAAATTCCATCCTCCTTCCACAGTCCTGCACCCGAGGAGCTGGAGGATGTCGCTTTCTGCACCAATGTCACGATCAAATTGGCCAGATCGGAAACGTGAATGTTACTCCAGCAGCTGAGACCTTTCCCGACCTGAATACCATGGCCATTTCGAAGAGTTGCTTTTGCAAGGTCAGGTAGCTGAATGCTGCGTTGGTTGACCGGGCCTCGGCCCAGGCCATAGATCAACGGACCATAAATTATGGCTGTTCGGACGTTCGGTTGGGAAGCAGAAAGCTTAAGGAGAAGATTGTCAACGGCACGTTTTGGGGAGGAAGTGATGATGCTTCGGATTTCATCGATGCCGTGGAGATCGTTGTACTCTTGGGCACGCGCTTGTCCGTAGACATTTGCCGCAATATCGGGGCCCGAGAGGAGGCTTGCTCCAGAGATTTGGATCCAGACTGATGATATTGACGTTTTTGTTAGACTCCCATTCAAGCCGGAGAGGTATATATGGGGGAACGGAATCAATCACCTGGGCTTTGGCGTTTGGTTTGCGTCAGTCCTTGCGTGATAGCAGTTGCGCTGTTCAGATGGTTGGAGCTTGCCAGGTCTTTGGTTTCCCCAACGTCAGTGAAAGTGGTTTCCCGATGTTAGCATCAGCAACTCACGGAGAACAACATCAGCCTCGGAGGCCTCATTTGTGATCGGGGTTGTGGAGTCAAGGTCTCCAATGACTGGAGTCACAGTGGGAAACTTCTTGCTGATCAGGGCCGCGCGGCTTTCGTTTCGAGCAAGAGCCATAATCTTTGATGAACGGAATGCTTCCGTGAGAGCGTAGAGGACATCGCCGCCGATGTATCCTGTTGCTCCGGTTCTAGGGCGAACCACTGTCAGCGTTCATACACTACTTTCAAGAGTGGATTGTATATACCTACATGAAGATGCGAGGTGACATTGTTGCGTGGTTGGTTCGGAGGCAGTTTTTAAAAGGAAAAGTTAAACTAAAAATGGCCGCAAAGGCTACGTTCGAAGGGGATACATCTAGTCTTTTAGAGATTTGATGGAATCAAAGTCCCATTTTGGGTTGTCGGGGACTCCTGCCTGTTTGTCTCCGGCCAATGGCGAGTGGCCGCCCGAATAGTCCAGGGGCCCACATGCGCTTACTCATCTCCAGCCAAACTGGCAGTTTATCGCGACGGGGAAATATTGCATTGAATGACATGATTTGAAGTAGTCGCCTTAATATGCGAGCTTATGAATCACATATTGATCAGGAAGCTTCTAACGACAACAGATTTGGCAGGATACTGGGGGAGTATGGGTGAATGTAATGCTTTTGGACGCGGATGTCGTGAACTATATAAACCGGAAGGAATAGCCAGACTCCTCAGGTTACCAGCTTGAAGAGCTAGAAGTTCAACTGAAACATTCATTTAGCTCCCCTTTTTTCTTTCATAAACGGTTTCCCATTCGTTCAAAATCAACATGTTGGCCGAAGAATTCCCCACCACTCCTCTCCGTCAGCATTATGATGTAGTGATTGTCGGCGGTGCCACCAGCGGCTCTTCCATCGCATGGCACCTGATCACGAACCCTGACTTCAAGAGATCAGTGCTCGTCGTCGAACGGAATCCATCGCTACAGCACTCCGCTACCAAAGCGAGTAACTATTGCATGCGACAACAATTTGCAACGGCCATCAACGTCCAGATTGCTCAGTACGCCGCCGAATTCGTCAAACGTTTCGGTAACGAGTTTCCGCCGGACGCGTGCGTGTCGGATGCCCCGATCCGCAACTTTGGATATCTCTATTTATCGGACTCGGAGAGCTTCACGGAGGTGTTGAAAAAGGACCAGGAATTGCAGGCGAGCTGTGGAGCTGGCACGCAGATCATACCAAGGGCCGAGATCAAGGAGAAGTACCCATTCTTCTTCACGGATGACATTCACACTGGAAGTCTTAACCTCGTCGACGAGGGTGCTTTCAATGCCCTCTGGATGATTGAATGGTTACGTCGAACAGCCCGTGAGAAGGGGGTGGAGTATATCAGCAATGAGGTCGTTGGTGTGAATGTACAGAAAGACCAAAGCAAAGTATTGAGTTGCAAAGCGGGCAACATATCACAGTGGGCAAGCTGGTTAACGCTGCAGGAACTCGCGCTGCCACTGTCTCGAGACTAGGGGAAATTGATCTCCCCATCGAGGCTAGACGACGGTACACCTACATCTTCGAAGTCGACGAGCCACTCCCGCAAGATTTGCCCCTAACCATCGATCCATCGGGCGTTCATCTCCGCTCGTATGGCGCCAAAGACTACCTAGTTGGCTGCCCACCCATTGGTCCCGACACTGCGGTGGATGTGAACGATTTCAGCTTCGCGGAAAATGCTCGGGAAGAGAAGATCTTGCCGGTGATCACTCGCCGGGTTCCTCAATTCGCCAGTGCACGGGTGACAAACTCCTGGATGGGTCACTATGAGTTCAACACGTTTGACCACAATGCTATTGTTGGCCCGCATAGCGAAGTTAGCAATTTGTTCTTCTGTGTCGGCTTCTCTGGCCATGGCAGTCAGCAGGCTCCGGCCTGCGGACGTGGCATGGCTGAGTTGATCGTGTACGGAGCATTCCAGACGCTTGACCTGAGTGTGCTTTCCTATAAGAGAATAGTGGAAAACCGTCCTCTGACGGAGTGCGCAGTCATATAAGCATATATAGCGGCAGGATGTGTAAGAAAGACATCCCGATGAATAGAATCATGGAAATAACGCGGTGGCTCATATATCAATCTTCGGTGGAAATATAATTCCTAGAATCATGACAGACGTGAACATGAGCGCTTAGACTTCCTGCACATCTTTTATCTCGAGCCTCGCGGTGCGATGATCTCTCCAGTCCTGCATTAAGCCGTTTCTTCAAAAATTCCTAACAAACATGATCAAATACCAGGTCTTAATACCAAGAGTATGTCGTGTCTTCAATAAGGGGATTCATAAGCCGCAAGCCCCGATCCCACTGCCTAAACTCTTTCTTAGTTTGGCGCTTTCTGGAGGGGTTGAGATAGGGGGAGACGAAACTCAGGGTACACAGGAAGTCAAATAATGGAGAGTCTATCAATTGGGCTCTTAGTATAAATCTTGAAAGACCCTTCACGATGCTAACAAGCCGGGAACCTCTGAATCATGATGGGACAAGTTTCTGAGCCCTGACGAATTCAAGTTACTCTGAGCTTGGCAGTAGTCTGTCGGCAAGCCGCCTTTTGTCGAAAAAAGGCCAAGACGGTCCCTTCATCAACCCGGCGGATGAAACATGACATTTTGAGTTTTTCACCTGAGGAGGAAGAGGGTGGCTTTGCATGTCCCGGACAAGATGAGTGTCAACCGTATGTGACCGCTAATCACATAGGAGACCTTCCTATTCCGGATATCGGTATTGGTAACTACCAATCCCCGAGGATTATGCAGATTTTCTGTTATTTCCATGGTTCAAAAGTTATGTCTCTTCTAACTGCCTTTTTAGGCTAGATTGCTTATTATTCTTCATGTATTTAAACTACAGTTTGCAACTAAATTGAAAGAATCAGACCTTCATCATTCGATATTCCTAAGTGTACATTACTAGCAATTACGCCTAGAGAGACGGCCAACAATGAGGCTATCCACAAAATGGGGGAGTCACTGGACACGCTAAGCCCGAACAGGTAAAGTGTTTTCCTCGTCGCCCCAAAAGGTCACTCTGCCAATGTTCTGACCCATATTCGCGTGGGACTTCGCCTCCTCAACTCCAGTGAATATATTATCGGCTCTCGGGGAAACTCTAGTAAGGCCACGTCGATAGGCTGGTCGGGAAAAAACCGTCGGAGAATGTTGCTACGAGACCTAGCGGACCAGAGTAAGGCCGTATGTTGGACCTGGGAATTTATGGAGTAGTCTACTCAATCGTACAACCGGAGTAAAGTTGATCGGCTACTCAGTACCACTAGAGGAGGTAGTATATAATCTTAGGTGCGACGGAATATGCGACAGAGCCTTTCTCTGAGAGACATACCGTGTATCCTACATCCTCATCTCGTTCATCGTCAGAATGAATTTCTTTACGGCTCTTCTGCTAGCCAGCACAGCTCATACTTATGTTATTGATCGTTCTCGAGTTACCACGCGCGACTCGCAAGTAGAAGTCAAGGAATACACATACAATGGAGACACCGGCCCCCTTCACTGGCATGATCTAGATCCATCGAAGAACGAAGCTTGTGCTTCCGGTCGTCATCAGTCCCCCATCGATATCATCACGGAGGAAATTGGCTATGCCGCTCCTGGTACCCTTCACATCGACATTCCCAACACCAATGCATCCACTTTCGAAAACATTGGTGCCGGTTTGGAGGTTCTAGCTCGAGGATCCTTGACTCTGAAGAACAAACAATATCCTCTGAAACAGTTTAATTTCCACACTCCTAGCGAGCATCGCATCAACGGGGAGTACTTTCCCATGGAAGTGCACTTCATCTTTCAGACTGCGAGTACGTGATCACTACCACCCCACCGCATCATCATTACTATTCCCATTATACTAACGAAGTCCAAGACGAAACCGCCGTCGTCGACTTCCTCTTCCAGCTTGTCGAGAACCAACCCTCCTTCGCCCCCTTCGACTCTATATTCAATCATTGCGATGAAATAGCCGAACCAGGAACTGCAACGAATACTGGACCGACCGACTTTCATCTGCTGAGTAGACATCTGGAAGGGAGTGCTATTTACAGTTACACTGGCTCATTGACTACGCCGCCTTGCACGGAGCAGGTGCAATGGTTTGTTAGCCAGCAGACTCTGCCACTCAGCATTCGTGATTACAATGAAGCAAAGAGGGTGTTGAAGCTTAATGCGAGGTATACACAGAATAAGCTCGGGGAGGAGAATTTGTTGGCGTGAGATTGATGGTGGAGATTGTGTTGGATTGCTTAGGTTTACAAGGGATGGTCCTAGGCAGTTGATGAGCTAATTTGATACTTGAGATGATTGATTGTAAATGAAGGATCTGTGTAGGATGATTGCGTTCAAAACAAATAGTTAAATAATATTGTTTTTACTTTCTTTTTCGATGGGATATTTCGCAGTATCTATCCAGAGGCTAAATGATGCATCACGGTACCACATTTGGAAATCGACAAAGAGTAGAATAAAAGGAAACAAGGAAATTGTCACAGGTAAGAGAAGTTGGGCATTCTGGAAGGAGTAAGATAGTACAGCAATGGCACCTTCAAAGCAAACAACATAAAAGTCAAAGAGAAAGCAGACGGTTTAAGACCAAGGGCTAAAACAAGACCTTTCTGGAGGCATTGATTCCCTTGATATCCCACCTCTGCGGTGCAGTCCGATCAATCTATTCCGACCAATCGCCCCGGAAGGTAGTTCTTAGGATTTGTGTTTACTCCTAGTATACTGGAAACCAACCCGCAGATTCCCAGTCAATCAGCCCAGTGATTTTTTTCTGATAGTCGACCATGATGTTGCGCGGGGCAATGTCGCCATGCGTGAAAACCGAAGTCTCCGCTTGCGGTAACATGTAGGGCAGCTCATTTGCATAGAGATGGCCATTGCGGGCATAGTAACGTTCGAATATGCGAGCTCGTACCTTAGATTCGCTTCGCAAAGGTCTTTCTGGTTTTTGCGGATCTTCGAATGCTGGGTCTTTCGAGGGAGAGCCATCGGCCAGGCATAGGAAGAGGCCTTCAAACTTTGGTGGCTTTGGGATTTCTCGAATCTTGGAAACAATATCACACGTTTGATGACAGATGGACTCTTTGGTGGTATCATCCAGTGTATTCCACTTCTCTTCCAGTGTCGATCCCTTAACGCGATCTATCGTAATGCCACCCTTCCTCAGGATCAAAACGCGCCGAAATGATCTCCAATGAAGGGATAGAGGGGTATTTGTTCACGAGACGCATTGCTTCAGCCTCAGGAGGTAGTATGCTACGTCCCCTTTTCTCCACGATAGAGAAGTCGCACTCAAGTACAAGTCGCCCTGATTGCTTGCCTAGAACCATGATGAGAATCCCATCACGCGGGAGGTCCAAGGGGTTAAGGGGTTGACGGGTGAGGGACAAGGAAAAATGGTCTTTTCCCTTTTGACGTATTGGTGTTTTACCTCCAGGTTCCGGGATAGTATGGTATGCCGCTCGAATAGTCCGCCATCCTGTCAAGTAATGTTGTTATATGGGTGTGATGTTTTAGATTGGTTTTGAGTAGTAGCAATTTTATGGCGAGGAAAATGTTTTCAGTGACGCTGCAATTATTACTGAAGGGTACGAGATAGGTCAAGGGAGTATACAGTGGTCATATTTTATCGAGGAAGAGATGTATAAAAAGGGAGCTTAGAGACCTCACCATAGTGACCATTAAGGTAGGCCTGTATCGTTACTTCCATTTCCCACATAATATGTTGGTTATATCGATTAATTACTTATATTCTAGCGATTAGAGGAATTTATGAAAGTGTTTATCTCTTAGTAGTCGCAAAATAGCTATAAATACACTACGTAAATGGGGTTCCGCACCTTCATGAATTTAGAGGTAAGAGAGCGCTCGAACCAATTCATCATGTTTGGTCAACCGAGGTATACACATACCTGTTCTTACATGATAAATAGTTGTTTCCCGGGGGTTTGCGAATATTAAACCGGCAAGCTCCTCTATTTAATTCCAAGGCTGAAATAAAGGCATTCTCCTAAACTGTAGGTTGTCTGGTGCCAGCTATGTTGTAGTAGAATTGCGACAGATTCTCCACTTGTTTGACACTTTCTTTATGTGGGTTAAACAATGAAATGTTGATGAAGAGGCCCTGGAACAAGAATATAAAAGGATTATATGAGCACCCTCCCAAGCGGTCCTCTTGACTCCCCAAGAGGATTGAGGTGATATACCAAGGAGAACCCCAACAAAGCTCATATCTACTCAGAACATATACATCTGAGCTCCCAAGAAAATGAGTTATTGTCCAGATTTAAGCACCCCTTATAGGACAGTTGGTCTTAGAGAGGTGTGCGAGGTCAACGGTCGTTCCTTTTCAAGACGCAAGGGAACGGAGAAATGGATTGAACATAATGATAAACCAGACAATTGCCCACCGCCCCCGACCAAGGACCTCTACCTCTCTCTTGTTCTTGAGAATCAAGGCTCAGGAGAGCCCTTACATTGGTCTCTTTTCGTTGCGGGTGAGAATCAGCCCGGGATGATGTATCAGGTCCTAGGCGACGCACAAAACATGAGATACGAACCAATGCGTTGTGTTAACATAACAAACACCAGATCCTTTCAGACCCTGTACAACTTGACTATTGTGGCGGAGCGGGAGGCAATAATAGTCAAGGAAATCGCAGAAAACGAGAGTCCTCCACGCGCACCCAACCGAGGAGCTGTTACGAAAACTGCCAGGGGTGGACTGTACGAGTTATTGGTAGACAGGTAGAAATGGGTATTGTGCATAAAGACAAACTTGATATGGCAATTTCTATGATGGAGCCACTTTGAGCCAGGGAAATGACACTGGGTACTTACAAATGCACATATTTGGGTCCTTGTTTTTGCTGTTTTTTGTGTGGGCTTTCGAAAATCAGACACCCCCAATTCCAATCACTTTGTACTAGTTGAATAGAAGTGATTTATACATATACCCTTTAAACATATAGTTTCCGCGCGAAACGATGTAGCTGCGCCCATTATAACTTTGGAGCTTGTGCGATCATTTGCTCGCCCGATTCGGTCAGGTCTCCTTTTGCCTACTAGGTGTGATTTCTTGTGCAACGGCTTTTGGGAGTCTGATAGTAATGCGCTTTACCGTATCTTCAAATCCTTGGTCGTCAATAGAGAAAAGGTTACTTAGAACTATCACAAAGAATAGTTACAGGAATCAATTTTAGAAAACATGTAGAGCTATCCTGAAAGGAGGGCTATTGAGTGTTTAATTTGCTGAATACCGAGCTAATGCGAAATTCTGGACAGGAGTGACCTGACAACTGACAAGCGTCTCCAACGAGCGGCCCGAAGCAAAGGGTTAGCTCTCGCGTTGTCTTTTCTTGTATGCCCTGTAGATTCGGATTTATGGGACTGGCATTGATGGGATATATAATGTTCGAAAAGCCTCTTCTGGTCCATATGTACCAATGTGTCTCTTTATCGAAGCTCTGGACATTATGGACTGTTCTGTCATCAAGGAGATGAAGCTCGGCAATTCGGGGTGTTTCAAAGCTGTTGCAATCATCAGTGGAGTTCTACCATCCGACTCTCGGAAGTTCGGGTCTGCATCATATTACTCAAGTAAATTCCCACTATGTCCATATAATTGCGCGCTGAGGCAAGATGTAGCGGTGATCTTTTGTGCTTGTCCTTGATTTGCCGGTTGTTCTTCTCCGTCTGTAGTGGGCCTCCAAAATAAACATAACGCCTGCATTCCCACCACCAATGGTGATGTCATGGTTTGCATTGTAATCGATTCTTTGCAAGGTTGCTAGCTGCGAGTCAAATTTGGCAATCCGGATAATGCTGGCCTTATCCCGGATCGTTTGTTCAACGAGAAGCCACGATATGAAACGGACACGATGGAGAGAAATTCTGATCAAGTAATGGCGTTAATTGATCTTAAGAGCGATAATATTTGTTATAAATCGGTCCTATCGATGCGAGAGCGACGCACTGTTTACGACAGTTTCGCCGCAGGGATAACGTATCCTAAACACCAGGCACAGCGACTCTATGCAAAGAGCTTGAAATCTCATATTGTACGGAGTTTCTCCTTTCTTTTCGCTCTCGTGGGAAAGCCGCGCCTTTTCTTGGCACTTTCTCTTGGCAGAGTTCTAAGTAGAAAGTAGAAATAGTTAATAGGTACATAGAAATAGGGTAACCGAACCATCCACTGAGCAATCCCGCAAGACCCTTCGAGCGGCCCACTTGCCGTAGGATCACTGAGAGGGAGCGGATGTGGAGAGGCACTCAGGGAATGGGAATGTTTACTCCGTAGGAACATCGTAGCTGCGGTGTACGGAGTACGTACAATCGGATCGAAGCTCAAGTTCAGGACGCCTGCTTGGCGATGATGCGTCCACGTGATTTTCCCTGCCTCACGACAACAATCCGAACACCTTCATCGACTCCATCATTGAAAATCTCAACAGTGGCCCTGCGACTCACATGGCGCCGGATTTCTATTTGCTCAAAAACTCATATGTGATGTCATCTCATGAAGGCTAAACAGCTGTACCTACTGCGGCATTACTTCGGTGGTCTCAAATTCCATTTCCCCCTTGCCGCCTTGGGGTCCAAAAATGCCATTCTTTTCGAAGCCTGAACAGATGCAGAGACCTAAATGGGGGCGAAGTGACTCTTTCGGAGACGGAACCCCTGATTTTCTCACCTCTCTTTTAAGCCTATGATGGGTCTCTCTACGACCCGTTGACTGGAGTCTAACTGGTGGATCGAGATGATCATTGCACGATTTGTACATGTCAACATCCTAGCGGTCTATCGCATTATTGATAAGTGGCCCTACTCCGTATTCCCTGGGACTTAACCTCGTGAGGCTGATGGGCAGTTGATCTGCCAAATCGTCGGCTGTTTAGCTGAAACCGCCCCCATCTTGCTTCCGAGAAACACCAAAATGAGAAGGCAGTGCCCCTTTCCCATGCGGACATGCAAATTAGGTTCTGCCTGGGGATCTTTACGCTTGAAAGGAATCAAAGGATAGACAGAAAGAGAGCTTATGGGTCTGCCTCTCATATGGGTGTCTAGCATGGAAATCAACCACATCTTTCTTCCATCTCGCTCGACTAGAATCGGCACGACCGCTTTTCTCACAATACGCCACGGCCACCCATTTTACGAGAATGCAGCTGCCGCACGCAATTATTTCCAGAATTTGCTAGTAGTACTCGCCCGGTACTCCAGCCTGGATAAATGGGCTCATGGTTAGCATACTTAGGGGAAGGATGGGTGGAGTTGTGTTGTTCCTGCCAAGACGCGCCCGCGGACTGTCTTGGCCGCGCATTGGTCCTGAACTGTTCCATCCTTCAGAGTCAGCCCTGCCCCCAAAGCGTTCGAATACACTATCTACGCGCCTGATCCTACTCTCGAAAGTCTCTTGGCATTCAATTGGTCTTGCTCCTACCGATGAGTGAATTAACAGAATTGTTCTCAGAGGCTGTGAGACCATATAGAGTACCCTCTCATCACCATTTGAAGGATGGCTATATTGAGTGGATACTGGCTTCTAGTGAGGGTGCGCAGACCCGCCGAGGCGGATTTCCTCAATTACAAGTTTACATCCCCAACTATACCCGGAGCCCGAAGGAACCCAGATACAATCCGGCCAATGAAGCTGCTAGACTGGACATTGTGCGGTTCCACTCAATAGTATCTTGGGTGACATCTGATGAAACAGCTGCTTCTCAGCCTTGTTTTCACTCCGCCCCCTTGGCCTATTGTCTCTCACGTCAGTACCACTTTTTAAATCCGCTAAGGGCTATAGTCGTTAGGCCGTCTTAATTTAAGCGCCTGGATAGCACGCAAAGGGGGGCCCAACAGAAGAGCCCCCTCGTCTGGTGCGATGATAGGTGATTTTGATTTACTTTAATTTCTTGGCTGGACGAACATCCGAAATAAACTAACGGCCAAGCCGATACGAGAAGAGCTTGTCAAACGTTTATAAACTGCTGGTTATTCCTACAGAATGGCCGAAGAGGAAAAGAAAATCCGCAATCACCACATTCACTTTCAATTTACTCGGGCCTCAAACGGTTTCCGTCCATTCTTTAATAGAACCTTGTTGTCTATAGTCCCTCTTTGATATTTTATTTTCTTCTTCATTCACGATGTGGACTACCCTTCGCAACGCGGCCCTCTTCACGGCCGTCGCCATTCAGCCCTTGGTCGGTGCTATTCCCGTGGAAAACAGCGTCGCTCGTCGTGCCCAGGGCAAGACAGTCGAGGTGACCATGAAGGGTCACTTCCGGTACAGCCTCCTCCAGGAGGTTGAGAACCCCAATAACACCGAGTCGGCGCTCAAGCGAACCATCGATACCTCCTATGAGATTAAACGCTCAAACTTCTTGGAGGAGACCAGCTCGGTGACCAAGACGGAGTCTGAATCCGTCAGCTCTGGAATTGAGCTTGGCGCATCGTACGGTGTCGCCGAAGCTAAGGTCAGCGCGGGCATGGAGACCTCGTCTCAGTTGGAGACTGCCTTGTCCAGCGTCAGCCAGATTTCGACCGAAGAGACGATCAGCGAGAAGCGCTCGATCGAACAGGAGTGTCAGTATCCGAGTTCATTATCGCTTGAAAAGTGTTGTAGATGTTCTTTAGCTAATGATCCTTCTTTTGCTCGGACAGTCAATGTCGGCAAGGGTGACACCTTCAAAATCTACGAACGCATCTTCGATGGTCCCGGCATCACCATTCACACGGATGCGATCTCTGGTGGACCCGACGATAAGGAAGATACTGAGGTTGAATTTACCGTGACTCTCCAGCAGCACAAGTTCCTTGCCGATATCAAGGTAAATTTTTGTGAGATGAATTACAAGCCAAGAACTCCGTTCGCTAATAGTAAAACAGGTCGAGACCGGAGACAGTGAGTTCTCCGAGCCTAGCGACGCTATCAAAATGGTCGGCAACGGCAAGCCCGACGTGAACAAAGGCCAGGATGGAGAGTAGGACTCCCCTCAGATCCATTCCTCTCCCCCTTTGTTAATGTGAACCCGCTAATCTGTTCTTTCATTTTTGCAGCTATGTCTGGCTGGTTCCCGTCTGGACTACCCAGGTTTCCGACGCCGCCACTAACGTGCAGGTCGTCATCCAGGACAGCGAAGAGGACGGCCATGACGACCTGGCATCTGGAGCCGGTGGCAAGTACCGCTACCTGTTTCCTCAGGCGCAGGAGAACAACTCCGACAAGATCATCGACGTTCAGCTGTACCGCTCCAAGGATTCGTTGTCTTCTGATGCTCTTGGCGACATGGGTTTCCAGGGCATGTCTTCTGACATCAACGAGGACCGTGGCGGTGACTACCTTTACCTTCTGTGGAAGACTATCGATGTTGACGCTACCACTGTTCGCTCTTAAAGGGTTTGGCCTACCGGGGATGTGCTCGTCTTGGGTTGTGGTTCCGGGCAGGACCAATCCTTTATGGATTCTTAACATGATGTGTTTTTTGCTTTTCTTTTCTTCTTGAAGATGGATAATCAGTTTTTCAATCCGTGCTTTTGATTATAATATTGTCTTCTATCTACTTACCTCATATTCTTTTTCAATCTATATAGACTCTACTACTATGACTTGTTAAGTTTTGAAAATTCACATTTCGATGGGATTTTATGCGGAGATTTTGACACCTAGTGTTTCTTTCTGTCCAGGACTGTGTCAAAAGGAATTAAAAAAGCGCAGGCTTCAAGAGAAAGATGGGAATACAGTCAACTCTATCACCCTATGAGCGCAAATCTACCTGTTTCTTCCGCATTCGGCGTTCCTCATGAAGTGATATCATTAATGCGTGACATCTATTCATCGGTGAAGAAGTCTAGAAAGGATCGGGTGGCCCTCTGATAGTACAAGTAACTGTTGGAACGATGTTATCAACCAGACCAGAGAAGTGGAGTATCTTGACCTAATCCACATACCGCACAGCACC